TGGAAGTGTTCCCGAGCCGCGGAGGTCACGAGCAAAGGATATGAGCAAAGCACTGCAAGAAGCTTTGCACTTCTCATGCTAATATTTGCCTCCCGTTTTTCAGCTGTTTAAAACCAGGCATTTAGAAGAGAGGGAAGGGGGAATCCAGAGCCCGTCCAGCATCACCCAGCAGACGGCAGTTTAACTTGTAGCTTCTCAGTTCTTCTTCTCCTAAAATCTGTTCTCAGGTGGAGGATTTTATGAAGCACACCATTTCTTGATAACAAAAATACCTCATATTCACACAGCCCATAAATACTGAAAAAATATTATTTCCCTTGTTTTCTTTAGTTTCAGTTTAGAGGTGAATTACTTTCTTGCTGCTCAGGTAGGCTAGGGAAGAATTTTCCTGCTCTTACTTGCCCATCATAAGAGAAACACGAAATGTACAGGACGAGGCAGTATCATGTTTGCAGTAGTATCTCGGTGTGCTAAGATGCTTATGTGATTCTGATAGACCCCACAGTGTGTAACTTAACTCTAGAATTGTGTTTGAGGCACTCAAAAGGGCAAGAGACCCTGCCTGAGTCAAGGTCACTTAGGCAAAGGGCTCACTTTATGTTAGCACGACAACTCTGTCATATGTATCATTTCCTTGTAATCCTAAAGCCTTCAGTGAAATGTGACATTAATTTTTGTAAATGTTGCTGTATTAATGGAATCAGGGAGTTTTTCTTAAACTTTCTTTGAGCCGTGCTACTGTGTAAGCATAATCTGGACGGGTCTCAGAAAGCTGAGGATAAGAATAATGTGAACTACAGGATGTGGATTTCCTGAGACTGATTGTGACTTTTCTGGAACTGATTTCCAAATAGTAGAATATGAGTTACCAATATAAATGAAACATATTTAAAAGGGAGTTCTTCAGTTAAAAATAAGCTCTGCCTATCAAGGTGGTCCTCTAGCATTTGAAATCAATCTTGAATCTGCTTGTTCTTTCCCATACAGAAGAACAGCCTTTACCACCTCTTTCAGTTTTCCCTCTAACAGTAAATCATAAAGTTTTGTTGAACGTAGATGGTTGGGTACTACAAAATGCTTACGAGATGCAGTTCATTAAAAAAGACAAAAAAAAGAGAGAGAGAGATCTCCCAAGTCAAAGCTGTGTCTTTCTGAGCGTGTCTATTCAATTTGTGTGTATGCGTTTTTTTCTTTTCTGTTGTGGATTTTTTTTTCAATAATTGCATCAAAAGATTTGATCCTACAAATTCTTCTCAGGAAATACTGCTGCTATAAGCACCAAGCAGCCAAATGTGTCTAACGAGATCTAAAGCCTACAGAGTTTAATCAATTCCCATGAACTGTCTTGAGGAATTCATATGAAAATAGCAACTTCAGTGTCTGCTTTGCAGGACTGGTCTGAATGTAGTTTACCATTAGCTTAAGTGATATATTCATTTAATGTCCTATGTTAGTTCCCTATATTACTACTCAGCCTCATTAGAACAGAACATTTCATACTTTTCTACATTCATCATTGTATCAAGAATATAGCAATTTACCACAGCTAAAAAGGACAGGGGTGCAGGTACTCTATTACTTTCTGAGATCTCAACATAAGTGTTTCTGGAGATGAAATAGATGCTTTGCAGAATTGACACAGTCTTGTTGCACATGCCCTGTGTTGATCCTTTTGTGATGCTATTTTTACAAATTTCCTAGGAGTGTTCAAATTCTGCTTTCAGTGATTGCTTTCCTCTTACCCAAGACTGCCCTTTGCGTTTCCTAAGTATCCCACGCTGCCTGAAGGATGGCACAGGGTTGCAGTATACCACTAATCATTTGCTATGTTTCACCTCAGAAATGCCTGCTCTTTAGTGGTAGCTGAAACTAAGAATTTACACTAATATGTGTTTAAGTTTGTAAGGAAAAAAGGCTGAAATTGCCTTATAAATGTATATGTTGAGATAATGATTATATAAAGAAGCTGCGCCAAAGAACAACCTTTCATTTACGGTGTTGTAAACTATAGACAATTAACTTTGTACCTCTGACCTCTGATTTAAATGATCCTTCATCTAGATGATTTCTATTCATGTTGCTTCAGGCAGCAGATTAAATTCTCGGTTCTAGAAAAGATGATGGCTATTACCGCACAGAATATCCTGATCTCAGAGGATTTCGAGGGAACGTACCAAGTATTGAGATGCATGATACAAGTAGGCTCATGGGGGAAAGAACCAGTTTCTCTCCTTGATGGTTATTATTTCCACAGCAACTTGGCTGCCACCTCTGAATATTTCCTTTTTCTTTAATTTCCCAGCCAATTCCGGTTCCTTACAAGGCCCACAGACTCCACAGTCTACTGGCAGTAATTCCATGACAGAAGTGCCAGGCGATTTGAAGCCCCCAACACCAGCATCAACACCTCATGGACAAATGACACCTATGCAGGGTGGCAGGTATGAAAAGTGCTTTGCTTCGTTTTTGTTAGGCTGTAGTTCCACAAGTAAGCTAGTCTCACCCTTTTCCAGCTGCTCAGGATCTCACCTAATTCACTGGTGAAGCAATTGGAGACTGAAAAGCAGCAGAAAAAAACCTTTTTGGAAGGAGAGGGAAGGAGATGGAGGTGTATTAGCTTTTTAAATCCCAGAAAAGGATGGGAAAGGGCTGATGCAGAGGAGGAAATGGAATTAGGTGAAGAGGAAGAAGGTGAAAGCATCAGCTTAGAAGCACAACCTTTTTCTCTTGCTTACAGTCCTCTTCTGGGATACAGCCAGTCCCACAGGAGGGAGGGCTTCAAACCAGACAGGGTATAGGGAAAAATTACTTGAATGATCAGGGAACAGGGAGAGGAAGGAGCTTGTCTGGCTATAGGGATATTCACGGCCCTCTGTACATATATTTGGGGATAAACATTAGTGATGGAGAACAGTTATTAATTAGATGAAGGGCAATATCCACTCAAGAGTAAATGGATATAAACAAGCCATGAATCAACTGAAGCTGGAAATTAGGGGGTTGTTCCTGACTATTAGAAGTATTCCTCTAATAAATACAGTGGGGGGAAATTCTGTGGTTTTATATAATTTAATCAAATTATGAAAAGTGCACATAATAAGGTAGTTAACTGAGATAAAGCATTCAGCTAGACAGACAAGGAGAACCCTTTCAATCCTACGTCCCATAGATCACACATACCTGTCTAATCTACAGTGAAATCTTCTGGCCATTTGGTAAAGGTCCTTAGCCCACTGAAGTCCGGAAAACAAAAATTCTTGTTGACTTCAGTTGGAACATCACCAAATATTAAATAATGTACAGAAACTTTCAAAACAGTATATTTACAGTTTATTTTCTTCATCTGTAATAGTGCAGAAAGGATAACAACAGTCCTTTTAAATCATCTGTAACTCAGACTGAATTTTCTTCCCACTATATACACATATGCATATATATATATATATATATTTGCCTTAAGAATAAATCGGGTAGTTATTAGGGAAACTCAGTTTTCTGGGCCCGGTTTGTAAGGGGTCTAGAATGAAGTCGACTGCAGCCAGAAAGGTAATTGCTTCTCTGTAACAGTGAAAGATATTAGGAGGTAAATCGAGTGTTGCTGCTTAGTCTTTCCTCTAGTACAAGAATAAGGGAATGCTTGGTAAACTTGAAAGGCAATAAATATTAAACTTACAGAAAGCAATATAATTTTGATACAAGCATATAATTAACCTATAGAGCTCATTGCCTTAGGGCAAGCAGCTTAGTGAAATTTCCAAAAGATTTAGACTTTTACATGACTTGGTAGGGCAGTGCACAGCTGAATTGGATTAAACCCACTGATCCCTAAGGTAGCCATATGAACTTGGGAAAAAAAAGGCAGATTTTTCAGTGACCATGCGTTATAAAAGCTTTTGTATCTTCCTCAGATGTGTCTTGCAGTGATCACAGTCCAAGGTAGCTCTGCGTGATGTGCTATAGCCCAGTGTGTTTCCGCAGCTCCTAGGCACACACAGTGTTAATGCCTCCCTTTCTTCACCCGCCAGGAACAGCGCAGTGAGCGTGCACGACCCCTTTTCGGATGTAAGCGATTCGTCATTCCCGAAGCGCAACTCCATGACGCCAAACGCACCATACCAGCAGGGAATAAACATGCCAGACATGATGGGAAGGATGCCCTATGAGCCGAATAAAGACCCATTCGGTGGAATGAGAAAAGGTATTTTTTGTGTGTCAGCTTCAGTGTGTTCTTCCCACTTTACTCGTGCAGTCTGGGTATTTGTGTCACCGGAATGAACTTACCAGGGATCTTTGCATGCGTGTCTAATCTTGCCATTACTAAGATGGTGTCCTCAGAGCAGTAGTGGAGTTGCAGTACAACTAAGGGATCCAGTCACTTCCTCTCTTTGGCTGGGGATTCATTTCATATACAGTGCTCAATGCTCCTTTTCTTGCATGCTTAAAATATGTACCCTCTGCTAAAGAATCCATACTAGATACTACACAGGGTCCTCGCCACAACCCCTGTGGAGGGTGGGTACATGTGTGTATGGCAGCTTGGCACGGAAGAAGAAAGCCTGATTCTGTCAGCTTTGTAATCCAAGCAGTGAGTTTTTTTTCTTTCTGTTTTGCACCGTTCATATTTAGCATTGTTTAGGGTGAAAGAAAAGCAAAAGGGAGTTGAACTTCAACTGTGAAGAGCATAGGGAAGAAGCTGCTTTGGTGCCCGAAGATCTCAGGTCCCTTGGATGAGATTACTTTCTTCACTTGCAGCTCCTTAATATTCTCACCATCATCTTGGTAGTGGTGCTGCTTCATGTGTTTTCATCATCCTCCAGGGAGCTTGTCACACACCAACTAATTCTGCTTGGCAGGGTTAGGGATCTGGACATTATTTAATGTCCATCCCTACATCATTTAATAGAACTCAGATATCTTCAAACCCCCAGCATAATATGTTTAATTTGTGGTTCTTCTTTTACCTTACTATTGCAGTGCCTGGAAGCAACGAGCCTTTCATGACCCCTGGACAAATGCCCAACAGTGGAATACAAGATATGTATAACCAGAGTCCCTCTGGAGCCATGTCCAACATGAGCATGAGCCAGCGACAGCAGTTCTCTTACGGCAGCGGCTATGACAGGAGGTGAGTCCACCTTCAGCAAAAGGCAAAGCCCGTTAGCAGAAACCATCCTCTCCCCGTGTCGTTTCCCCATGGCACCTTGCTGAGAACACAGCAGGCTACGTTTCCCCCAGCAGCTTAGTAAGCCCCTGCGTAATGACTGGGCCTGGCTGTTCACAGAAATTGCTAAGGAGGGAAGCCTCACACCTTAGAAGCCACTCAGGCTGGAGCTGGTAGCAAGTGGGTGTGTTTGACAGCTGCCTGGTTGCTGTGCTGAGCTGTGAGGGCCCAAAGTAGCACGCACGTTAGCCATCCTGACATGTTTGCAGATAATCAGTTGTTTTGGGGCATTTTATGAAAAACAACATCCACAGACTAAATATGTCTGGTTTGTGGTCTGATAATGAATTGGCTTTGGAGAGTCTGGAGTCTGTTGTCTGAGCTGTAAGGACGTCAGGCTTTCATTGTGCCTTCGTTCCATCACTATCCTCATAATTTATCTTCTGATGAAACAAGCAAAAATAAATTAGTTCCCTTTTGTGTATCCTGGAAAAGGGTTTGGGAAAAAAAAACCTTAAAATCACTGGTGTCTGAGAATTGGTATAGCCAAATATATAATTTGGGAATGTTTGGATTATAGTAAATATTCCAGTAGACTTTGAAAGTATGGCTGTATTCCTGCAGCTACTTTCAAACCTCACTGTTAGCTAGCTGAGTGCAGCCCAGATGGTGCAGTGTGGCTCTTACAGGTTTAACAGTGGAAAAAGTTTCAGTGTGAAGCAGTAGATGTTACAGAGTAACAGGGCTGTAATTGTGTCCTTCAGTGTCAGGTGATATTGCTGGGTTAAGAGAAGTTAAGGTGAGATTAGGCATTCCAGCAGAAAGTGATAAATCAAGAGATTTTTTTCCTTAAGAACTTTTATTTTTGGCCGTTTTGGAGAATAAGTGGGGGTTTTTATAGAATGAGGTTTCTTTTGTCATTTGGGAGTTTGAACATGGTCTGGGTCCTGAAGGCAATATGGGACCACCTGGTCAAAGCAACGTGGTGCCTTTACACAGTGACCCCAGCATGTACTCTCCTAAACATTGCTCTGTCCAGCAAAGGTGAACATTGATTTCTCTGTTCAATATCTGCAATACCCAGATAACAAGTGCTAGCAGCTTTTGTGAGAGCACATAAATAGAATATGCGGCCTCCTGGTGTATTACTTCTATCTTGGTTGTTCTTACTTAGGTTTTTACTGTTGGTTTAGTTTGTTGGTGTGGGAGGCTGTCTTTGGAGAATCAGTGGACCTCATGCATCCATAGAATTGTAGAGGTTAGAAGAGCAGCCTGCAAATTAGCTGAGGTATTTCTGCACCAACACTGAGCTGAACTATGCCCTACAGGCCCCAGTTCTCCTGTGCAGCATTAAGTAAGTGATATAAATTCTGAAGCTTCTATGACTTAGGTTGTGCTGTTCTGTGGCTAAGAAATCTAACATTTAGGAAGTATTCCCATATATATGCCATTGCTCAGTTTTATCTTGCTGCACGTATCATCTTGGACAACTGTAGACTATTTCTATCAGTTATAGTTTGCTTTCAACTGGTGTTGGATAATTCATCTATTCATTTCTTAACTATTGGAGATACTGAACAGCTATTGGTTTTCCTCTGGTCAGTGAGTTTTCGGTACCTTTGGAAAAAGATCAGGTGCAGATTCCCTACTCCTGTGTTTATTTCTTGGCTCTCCTTCCAGAATTATTCTCAAACTATAGATGTGTTCTCTCCAGGATTTTTCAGAGAGGAATTGCTGACATACTGGTTTGCAAGACAATAATATTTGCCAGTCTTAATACTTTCCAAGTGATTCCTTTCAACTGACTATCTAGAATTCATTAAAATGTGCTAAAAACACTGCAGTTGCAGTGTAGTGCCCCTCAGAGGTCATAAAGGGCTATAGGTAAGTTTCCAAGAACGACTTCAACTCTGGTTCTCACATGTGAAGAGCTTCACACTGCTTCATTAGGTAGCTGTAATTAAAAATTACATAAACCTTAGTAGAAATGCAATGTAGTACTGTTTTTACTTAGCAATGATGTGTTTAGATGTTACGTATTGTAATATTAATGATATTTGTACTCATTTTTTTCATTATGGTCCAAATAGAATGACATCTTCACTTTAAATCAGCAGTTAACTACTGGTTATATTCTTCGGCAATCTATAAAGTAGCTTTCTTGGAGATCTACTCTTAGAACAGAAGAATTATGACTTGTCACCTCATAGCTGTAAAACTTTTCCTGCAAATTGGGAAAAGACATTTAAAAAGGACATTTACATTAAAAAAAAAAAAAGTCCTGCTGTGGCTGATTTCTAGCTCCGCTGCAGCTGCCTGCCTGCCTTCTCTTCTGGCTGCACCCTGCTTCCATCCCTAATACTCTCCCTGCTGTCCCTAATACTCTCTGAAGACTCTTTCTCGCCTCCTTCCTCCTGCTTTACCCACTTCCTTCCACTCCCAGTGGTGGAAAGCTGCTGCCTTGGGCTCTGGGCCATACCCCTCTGTGCCTTGTTCTGTTTCCACATGGTGAATATCTCCAAGAAAGACGTGAGATTGTCGTAGCAGTTTTGTCTTTGGCTTGAAAATTCCAGCAGCTCTAAGTGATGATGTAAATGCTTCATTTTAGGCATGAACCATATGGGCAGCAGTATCCAGGACAAGGACCTCCCTCAGGACAACCACCATATGGAGGACATCAGCCTGGAATGTATCCACAGCAGCAGGTAGGAAAGAGGAAAACAGCTATATTCATAATGTATGTTTAATAAACAGTCACCCCAAAGATCCCTATAGATTCAGGAAATTGTTTTTACAATGTATGTCTCTTGACACAGAGGGCCACTGTAGCTGTGGTCAAAAATCATAGCTCAAATGCATAAGTAGTGCTTATGCAACTGGAAAAATGTGTTAAATTATACTGTAAGAGTGTAAATTTTAATGGATATTCTGTGAATGTGCATCAAGCAAATGTCCCAGAGTAATAACCAGCAGACTAAGAAAGTATAATTCAAAGGTTAGTTATGGGATGCTACAAATACAAAAAGCTGCTTGACTGTCAAGGGTAAGGGCCTCACTGCTGTCACACAGCCCAGGGAACCCATGAGAGGACTGCTACAAGGGAAAACATGCAACGCTCCCAATTATTCAGAATGCTGTGATGGGTCATGCACCTAGTCCAGATAATGTCAAGGAATTATCCATCTTTAATATATGTCATATGGTATTAGCTTATCTGTATGCAATTTCTAGTAATACTATGTTACAGATGTATGAGGGGTAACAGTGTTAAAAGTAGATTGGAGATATTGGGAGACTTGAGCATAACCAAACTCTGTAACATATTTGAAAATACAAACAATATTAATTAGGAGGATTTCTGTAAAGGGTGTTATTGCTAGGTATGATTCAGTCTCGTAAGTCAATGGCAAAACTCCAGTGACTTCAACAGGATCCATTTCATCCTGCACATTGCCAGTCAGGCAATAGTTGCTGTTGAAACTAGCTTCTCAAATAGAAAATATTTCCCTATCTGTAACATAAATATCCAAATGTAAGCTAGCTTTCAGCCCATTTCAGATAAAGCTTTTCAGTTCAGGATACAGTTTTACTGGGTAATCGTAAAATCAGAAGAGATCTTATCTTTTTAGTACAATGTAACCTATCTGAAATTAGTTTCAGAATTGTTTGCTTATCTGTTTGGTTCAGAAGCTTTATTGTTTTTGGAGCAAGCAGTTTGAGGTGATTTTGTGGGGAAATTACAAAGATACGTAAAATAGAACAGTTTGTGAGTCCCATACTAATACTTGTGGGGAATGTATTAGCCAAGTGTTCCCACAGGCAAGAAGACAGGTAGAATTTATTTAAAAAATAAATAAATAAATAAAAGGAAGGAAGAGTAAGTCCTGTCCTCAGTGCTTTGCACACCGGCTCTTGAATGCAAAGTGCACTAAGAGAGACAAGCATCGAAGAATGAAGGGCAAGGATCTAGACCTTGGCCCTTCTTCCCACTCCCGTAGGGTTCCCCTTCTTTGCTTGGCTAGAGAGTAAGGTTGACTCTTCCTTAGTCTTCCTTTCTCTCCATTAAATCTCACTATAACAGTGCCAGACTAATGTAGAAAATGGCCCAAAAGGTAGAGAATGACCTGAGAAAGGGGGTGCTTGGAGCCTGAACCCCTGAGGCCCTTTGACCCACGTTTTTCAATTCCTATGTGAATGCTTAAGAGCACTGTAATAAAAATGACCTCCTGTCCTCGATGAGGTCTCCTAATGCCACTCAGCAGGTGGAAAGAAACATACAGTGTGCAGGCTGCGATCAGCTGCCCGAGATTTACCCGGGATGGGGAGGGAGCTCAACGTTTCCTTTTGGTTGCCATTAGACACAGAGCCACTACAAATGCAACGACATTGACTTGCCCTTAAAAAAAGGAATGTGCTTCATTCCTAAGGTTTATTGGTTTTTATTCATTTTAACCATCCGGACCACACCGGCAAAAACAGGCATCATCTTTTTAGGTGTGGCAACTCCCAAGCCAGTTCTTAATATATAAATTGGCTATAAGTGCAAGAATTTACCACAGCAAGTAACTTATGCAGGCACAGTCTTCATTTCTCAGATAGCCAGGCTGCTCTTTAGCAAGTTTAAGGAAAAAAAGAAAAAGAAACTACTTTAATGCAACATAGAAGTTGTGGTTTTATATGCACCAAAGCTGGAAGATGAGTTTATGATTCCCGGAGCAGTTCTAACTGACCCATATTGAATACATACAGAATTTTATCTGATGTTAACTTTGGTACATTAGTATACATTGTGCGATGTGACTGAGTTAAGGTTTCTGGGGGGAGCCATAACTCTGAGTTTAACTTAGATCATATATTCAAAAATCGCACATTTAATGTACATTTTTTGCTTCAGAGCACTCAGTGTGGTTTGAACTGTGGAACAAACTCCCACAGGAACTAAGGACCATCACGAATCTCACCACCTCTCAAACCACAAGATGTCTTTTCTGTCCTGTATCCTTAAAAATAAATACATGCAAGTTTATATGACTTACTTACTTAAAAACAACTCATCTCCCCCAAGAGCAGAGCAGCTCACCTTACTCAGCATTCACCCTTTTGAGAGGGTGAGAAAGAAGGAGGCAGCAAATCTGATGTGGCAGCTCTCAGTTGCATCACTCACTTAATTTGTTACTCATCAGCAGCATAGGAGTGCGTATAAATTGGAGCAGAATATTTGGGTTTGGCCATTTCATAAAACAATCTCATATTATATAAAATGTGATTAGGGGAATTTGGGGAGAGGAATGGTTGCCCAAGCAGGACCGTCTTCCTGGCAAGTACACAAGGAGTAGCAAAAAGAGCAGAATGTTTTCTCCTATGAGTAAATTAATTTTGTGGAGCTTAGACTCTGTTGTAACATCCCATGTTTCAGACATGTATGCTTGCAGCATATCTTGGTGGGTTAGGAGTTTATTCAGTTCTTGACCCTGGAAAAGATTAAGTCACTGAGTGGTTTTGAATATTTTTTAGGGGACTAAGCATAAAAAAAGAAGTAAAAATATTTCGGTGAGGACCATTGCCTTTTCATGCATGTCATGAGGAACAAATAGAATTTTTTTCTGACAGATAGGAATGGAAAGGGAAAGGGAGAAAATGAGAGAAAGCACGAGAAAATATCGCCCAAGGATAAGTTTCCTTTTAATATTAAGTTACAAACACAGCAAAACAGAGGCTTAAAAAGTAGGCACTGACTTAAGCCCAACCATAGCAGCGCGGGCCTGAGTCTGAGCTCAGCCCCCTCCCTCCAGACCTAAGAGCCTTCAGCTTTTTCATGACCTTTCAGACAGAGTGCTTGGGCTTGTACGTGGAGTAAAAGTGACGAATCTTCTTTCCAAAAATTCTTTGCAGAACTACAAGCGACACATGGATGGCATGTATGGGCCTCCGGCCAAGCGCCACGAGGGGGACATGTACAACATGCAGTACGGCAACCAGCAGCAGGACATGTACAACCAGTACGGCAACGCCTACAGCGGGCCCGACAGGAGGCCCATGCAGGGCCAGTATCCCTACCCATACAACCGGGAGAGGATGCAGGGCCCGGGGCAAATGCAGCAGCACGGAATACCTCCCCAGATGATCGGGGGCCCCATGCAGTCGTCGTCCTCCAGCGAGGGGCCTCAGCAGAACATGTGGCCGACGCGCAATGAGATGCCTTACCCTTACCAGAACAGGCAAGGCCCCGGAGGCCCCGCGCAGGCCCCGCCGTACCCAGGGATGAATCGCACTGATGAGATGATGGTACCTGACCAGAGAATAAACCACGAGAGTCAGTGGCCTTCTCATGTCAACCAACGTCAGCCTTCTTATATGTCATCCTCAGCCTCCATGCAGCCTATCACCAGACCTCCTCAGTCATCCTACCAGACGCCACCCTCTATGCCAAACCACATTTCTAGAGCTCCAAGCCCAGCATCCTTCCAGCGCTCTCTGGAAAACCGTATGTCTCCAAGCAAGTCTCCTTTCCTACCTTCCATGAAGATGCAAAAGGTGATACCCACCGTTCCAGTGTCACAGGTCACAGGACCTCCACCCCAGCCACCTCCAATTAGGCGGGAAATCACCTTCCCCCCAGGCTCTGTAGAAGCATCGCAACCAGTCTTAAAACCAAGACGAAAGATTACCTCAAAAGATATTGGTAAGCATCAAAACAAAAGCCAAGGATTGACATAGGCAGGGAGAAAGGGGGCTTAGTTTCCTTCTTACCCTGGGAAGCTATTTTGATAGCTAACTTGATAACTGTAAGTGACTGTGTTGAGTAAAAAAACTTGATAACTGTAAGTGACTGTGTTCAGTAAAAATGTAGTAACATCTGCATCAGAGACAATGATGGGTGAAAGTCAATCCAGCAGATCTGACATGAAATGAAAGCAATATTTTATATGGAGACCTGGAGTCTCCAAAAATGTGTGTTTGCATAAAGATCAAACTTGTTTTGGAGTTTCAAATTTCATGTGTTGAAAGGTCTTTCAGAAAGTCTGTTCAGTCGGCAACGCAACATAGGTTTGAGTAAAGTTTTCTACGTTCTCATTCCGTAGAAGTTCACAGTAGACAATACTGTTCTGTTGCGTACTTACAGTCTCTGCCTTCTTTGAATGGCCCATTAATTCATTCAGTGTTATTTGTCATGTTTATTTCTCCCCCTGTTTTTTCCAAGTATCTTCCTATGTAGAATTCATGTTACTAATGTCACAATTCCAAGCTCCCAATACCTCTGACAGATTTCTAAGAACTTTATTTCAGCTTCAGCAAAGCCAGGAAGAATGGCCCTGTATAGATACTTCCCCAAATTAAAGCAAAGCAGCAGTTTTTCTAGAAACATTTCACAGGGCTAAGTGAAGCCTTGAAACCAGGGTCTTGAACAAGCAGTGTTTATGAACACTGCATAATTGAAACAACTTCATTTATATTCTGCATTCTCAACATATTATGGTTTATACTTTAAAAACTCATTGATGGTCTCCTAGCGTGTGTTAACGCTGTTGTATTTTCCCTCCTTTCCCTCCAGTGACTCCTGAGGCCTGGAGAGTGATGATGTCTCTCAAATCTGGTCTTTTGGCCGAAAGTACCTGGGCGCTAGACACTATTAATATTCTTCTGTATGACGACAGCACTGTTGCTACTTTCAACCTCTCTCAGGTAGGTGGGAAAACAGTTCTACCTCTCAGCCTTTTAAGGAAAGAAAACGGAAATAAGGTATATGGGAAAAGACTGAACTCTCTTAAAATTGATCACTTACTTTAAATATAAATTTGAATATCTCCGAAGTTCCCTTTTTAATTATAACAGTGAGAAACAAGATATTAACATAAGGGTGTCTCTTGTGAAAAGGACTATGCAGGAGTATTAGAATTTCAGCAACAGCAAAAGCTTGTGTGGAGTCTTTAATTGGTATAGTATGTGGACAATCCTAAAAAAACAGCAATATGTTAGTGATTTAGTTTAACTGGTCTTTCTATAAAGGGCTTTTCAAAATGATAAGTTGATTCGAGACTGTCTTTGGGCCCTGCTTGTCGTATTTCACTGGTCCAATAGTGAGCTGCTGGAGTTTCTGAACTGCTCGTGTTTTATTCAGTTTCTCCTTCCAGTAAATTAGTCTTGCACAGAAATACCCAATGGACAATTTGAAGGCTAAACTGTGCTGTCTGTCCACAGGACACAAGTAATATAGGATTTCATTGTATACTTTTGCCTCACCTGCCAGCATTTCTCAGCCCCGCTCTAACCATTGACTGTAGTAGTGATAGATGGTATGGTAATCTAATGTGCATGGTGTACAAGGTGAATATGCATTTTATCTGTGCCATTCATTCCTCGGTTACTAATAGTGTAACTGAAGGGGCTTTTTTTAAAAAATAATGACCCTTTTTAAGGTAGACACAGATCGTACATTTCATCCCACCTATTTTTAGAAATGGAGATATCTATAGCACGATTCAGCTCATCCTGAAGTAGGGAACTAAAACAGGTCAGCTGAATCATATTCTGGAACTGGCCTGTAAGAGGTCATTGATTATAACAGGAAACCATACAATTAGGTTAGAGGTGCAACTGTTGCAGATGTCTGAGGTTGTGAGGTGCATTTCATGCAAATTCTACCAAAAATTTCATTGATGCATCCTGTGCAAGTTGTACAGAATATCAGTCTTTACATTTATTTGCTTCCTTTTGCCTTGAACTTGATTTAAGACTTGAGAATTCTGTGTGGTAACTGCTAATTCTTGCAGTTCATAAATTTTTGTTCTTAAATCTTTTTGGATTTGGCAGTCGAGTTTGTAAGAGAATACAGAACATCTTAGACATTGGTCATCTAACTAAGGAAAACAAAAGAACTGTATGAAATATGATTTAAATTAACTTGGGGTATAAGGACAAAAGGATATGTTTTTCTGAACATCTATTAGTCACAATTACAGCCACCATTAAAGCCAGATAACCGGGCTGAATATAGTAACAGCAAAGCAGCTTTAATAAAAAAAGCCACAGAGCGCAAATTAGCATCAAGTCCAACCATTGTCTTTCAGTAAGAAAGTCATTACAAGTTAATTAAGAGGATTAAGCCCAAATGAAAACTGTTTCTGAAGGGTGACTTACAGCTCTGTGCTCCAATAACAATTTTTAAATATTGACAGCATGAAGAAGACTATTCCAATAGAGATGGGCTATTAGCTTAGGATGTCAGTACCTAGAAGCAGCACTGCTAAGTCCCAGAGGTTGGACATTTGGATTTTGAGACTGAGAGGCATGGAAGGAGAGGAAGAACATTCGCATGGTTGACTTGAGGCATCTGATAAAAATTCAGCTCAGAGAACTAGAATTAGTTGGAAACTTCAGTTATCTGAACAGACAGTAAAGAGTATTGGGCACTACCAAGCGAACAGGACAGCTAGGTAGATAGCTTCAAGGAGGCATCGTGTAAACGAAGTGCTGTCCTTCTGGTAAGTGTTACAATTCAAGCAAATGGCACCAGGAGAGTCTACAGACAGAAAACTTACTCAGTGGACAGAACGTAGAAGAATTTCTTTTGATTAACTTTTGCCATGCAGGATCTAGTCTAAAGTCCAAAGCAGGAGGAGGGAAATCTGCACAGATGTACGTGTCCCTGTTCCTAATGACATTCCATGCAGTGAAAAATATTTATCTGATTTCTGTGTTCTTTCTTCTCCCCTCAGTTGTCTGGATTTCTTGAGCTTTTGGTAGAGTATTTTAGAAAATGCCTGATTGACATTTTTGGAATCCTTATGGAGTATGAAGTGGGAGATCCAGGTCACAAAGCACTTGATCACAAAGCAGCCAAGAAAGATGATAGCCAGTCCTTGGCCGAGGATACTGGGAAAGAGGAGAATGATGAATGTATTGACTATTTTGATGAAGAGGAGGAGGAGGGGGAGGATGAAAAGGTAGAAGGAGAAGAAAAGAGCATTGTTTTTTCCACTCCCGGTGCCATTGCTGATCCAAGTGAGAGGCCAAAACAAGCCAGTAAATTTGACAAGCTGCCAATAAAGATTGTAAAGAAAAATAATCTGTTTGTTGTTGACCGATCTGACAAACTTGGACGTGTTCAGGAGTTTGATAGTGGACTTCTCCACTGGCAGCTTGGTGGTGGTGACACGACCGAGCACATCCAGACTCACTTTGAAAGCAAGATGGAGATTCCTCCGCGCAGGAAAGCCCCTCCCCCCTTGAATTCTCCAAGCAAAAAGAAGGACCTCGAGGGGAAAGGCGAATCTGAGGAACAACAAGAAAAAAGTATAACAGCTACCATTGATGATGTCCTCTCAGCTCGACCAGGAGCATTGCCCGAAGACTCCAACCCTGGTTCCCAAACGGAGAGCAGTAAATTTCCCTTTGGGATCCATCAAGCCAAAAGTCACCGGAATATTAAACTGCTAGAGGACGAGCCAAGGAGCCGGGATGAGACTCCTCTATGCACCATAACCCACTGGCAAGACTCCCTGGCCAAACGCTGCATCTGTGTGTCAAATATTGTCCGTAGCTTGTCTTTTGTGCCTGGCAATGACACCGAAATGTCCAAACATCCAGGCTTGGTGCTGATCCTGGGAAAGCTGATCCTTCTTCACCACGAGCATCCAGAAAGAAAGCGAGCGCCACAGACGTACGAGAAAGAGGAAGAGGAGGACAAAGGGGTGGCCTGCAGCAAGGATGAATGGTGGTGGGACTGCCTCGAGGTCTTGAGGGATAATACATTGGTCACATTAGCCAACATTTCTGGGCAGCTAGACTTGTCTGCTTACACGGAAAGCATCTGTTTGCCAATTTTGGATGGCTTGCTGCACTGGATGGTGTGCCCGTCGGCAGAGGCACAGGATCCTTTCCCAACCGTGGGGCCCAACTCGGTTCTTTCGCCTCAGAGACTTGTGCTGGAGACCCTGTGTAAGCTCAGCATCCAGGACAATAACGTGGACCTTATCTTGGCCACGCCGCCCTTCAGTCGTCAGGAGAAACTCTACGCTACTTTAGTTAGGTACGTCGGGGACCGCAAAAACCCGGTCTGCCGAGAAATGTCCATGGCGCTCTTATCGAACCTTGCCCAGGGGGACACGTTGGCAGCGAGGGCAATAGCTGTGCAGAAGGGGAGCATCGGCAACTTGATAAGCTTCCTGGAGGACGGGGTCACCATGGCCCAGTACCAGCAGAGCCAGCACAACCTCATGCACATGCAGCCCCCGCCGCTGGAGCCGCCCAGCGTAGACATGATGTGCAGGGCAGCCAAGGCCTTGCTGGCCATGGCGCGCGTGGACGAGAACCGCTCGGAGTTCCTTTTGCACGAGGGGCGCTTGCTGGATATCTCCATATCTGCTGTCCTGAACTCTCTGGTTGCATCTGTCATCTGTGATGTACTCTTTCAGATTGGGCAGTTATGACATAAGTGAGAAGCCAAGCATGTGTGAGTGGAGATTAGAGGGTCACATATAACTGGCTGTTTTCTGTTCTTGTTTATCCAACGTAGGAAGAAGGAAAAAAAAAGAATCTTTGCTCCTCTGCCCCATTCACTATTTACCAATTGGGAATTAAAGAAATTATTAATTTGAACAGTTATGAAATTAATATTTGCTGTCTATGTGTATAAGTACATCTTTTTATTTTATTTTTTTTAACCAAAGTTGCTGTCTAGTACATTCAAAGGTCACACTTTTTTTTTTCCATAGATTATCCTTTTCAATGTTCTTTTCCATGTTTGTATTGCATATTTTTTGGGAAGCGAACTAGTGACTTTTTAAAAAAAATGTTATGGCAAACCATTGTATGATGGAAAAAAATTTTCACGACTTTGAAACGAAAAGGTGACAAATTACCAACATACCAAGTTCCTGTGTGTTTTATTTTTTCAAATAAGGAAAAAATATAAAAAAACTTGTATACCATCACCCAAAGCTCTGTGCAATAGAAGATTCTAGTGATGTAGGTGTAGGGGATCAAGGAGGGTGTCAGTCAGTAGTCAAAACTATATACAAAACGATATGGGTTTTCTCCACAGGAGAAATGGCTACATTAGGCTAGGAGCAAAACAAAACAAAAAATTCAAGTTAAAAGATTTTTAAACAAAACCTGATGATGAAGATCAATTGCTTCCTCACCAGAACTGTCGTGTCTAGATCTGTTTTTTTGACCTTCCACCATGACAGTTCTTCACAATTCCTTTAATCATTTTTTAAAATATTTTTTTATTGCCTAAGGGCCGTGATGTATATAGAAGTTGTACATTAAACATACCCTCATTTTTTTTTTAGTACAAAGTTTTTAGTTTCTTTTTCATGATGTGGTATCTACAAAGTGATAGTAGATTTTTTTTTCTTTCATTTGGGCCATATCTCCAGAAAATAATAATAAAAAAAAAAGAAAAAGAAAAAAACCCAACACAGGAAACCAACAACTGAGGGTAATGTACAAGTTTCTGTATGTATAAAGTCATGCTCTATTTCGGGAGAGCAGCCGATCACAATTTGCTTTATAAATCAAGGTGTGGAAATGGTTACGTATGGATTGATTTAAGAAAATGGTTACCAGTCTACAGACAAAAAAATATATACAGGAAAAAAGGAAGAAACACAACTTCAAAGATTTTTCAGTGACGAGAATCTGCATTTGTATTTCAAGATAATGTAGTTAAAAAAGAAAAAAACTTGATGTAAATTCCTCCTTTTCCTCTGGCTTAATGAATTTCATTTATTCAGTATAAAATCTTTATATGTTCCACATGTTAAGAATAAATGTACATTAAATCTTGTTAAGCACTGTGATGGGTGTTCTTGAATAATGTTGTAGTAGCAATGTGGGGTATCCAAAAGCAAACTAATTACAAGAAAGAGCAATAGTGATTGTTCTCTTTCCCCTACCTCACTACGACCTTCAAAAATACTGATCTATTGTTCGAGTATTGCAGCAGCTTGCTCTCCTTTTAGAAAAACCTTCTCAGGTCACAGAGAAGAGTTTTGAGTTATTAGTTATAAAACCAGGGAGCCTCAAAGGGGATCGACACTATGCAGGTTTCCAGTCTCAGTGCTTTGCTTGGGGGGTGGGTCTGAATTTGAATGTTAGAAAAAGTGACACAAGATTTTGTTGAAGCAATAACCCTCTTGAAGGAACTGATCTGTATTCACTACCTGTAATTCTTTCCATTGGATAAAGGTGCAAATACCCCAGTGATGTGGGTATTTAGAATAAACACCCACCCACTTCCAGATACTGTATGTGTCATTGCATACTTCCAGGGCCTCTTATCCTGGGATCCCCCCACTCCAGTGGATCGGGCTGTAACGGAGCACATCCATCCTTACAATTGGCGGGAAATGGCTGTTTCAATTCCAGCTCTTCCCTGGCTTCAGATACGTCCACCCTCTCACCTGGTGATACCTTGTTGCTGAATACTGTTCAAGCCCCAAGTTTTGCTGTTCCCTCTTGGATCATTGGCTTTGTCAATGTGATCATAAAAAGCTAATAATAATCAATTTCCCTGGAATTGCCACATAATTGCACTGTTAGCTAACAGTCTCCTCTCCAATCACAACCCAGAGGTACTTGAAAATTACTACTCCTCTCCCCGCCTTTGACCTACTGCCCATCTTTTTCATACAGATTGCTACAACATTAATATACAGAAGGCAATTTCAGAGACAGGTAAAGTATACACAATTGTAAGCCAAGTTTGAAACGTGACTCCCTAGTGTCACAAAAAGTAATTTTTCCTTCCCCTTTTCTTAGGCAGCAATCTCTGCCTCCCACATCACCTGCTGCCGCCGTCTCTCGCTCTTGCCTAACAACACGTTCAGAAGCAGGGGGTGAATTACAACCCCCTCATACCTCCTCATCACAGGAGGAGGCATAATTCAGGGATGATTTTTTTTATGGCTTGATAAGAGGCAGTGTAGAAGTAGTAGCCCATACTACCCTTATTTCTTAACATCATTTTACTGCTTGATTTTACCCCCTGGATACAAGCAAGCTATTAAATAGACGCTCACCTGAGCTTCCCTCATTCTTTCTTTTCAAGGACATCTGATGTTTTTTTTCCTCTTCAGTGTTCAGAGCTGGATACTTGGTGGGGGAAGCTGCACCTGTGGCAAAACAGACACGATGACGGTGTGAGCTGCCAGGCTTTTAGTGTCTCAGCTCTGCCTTGAGCCTGGCTGAACAAACAGGGTGGGAGGGAAAGGACACAAGGCCACCAGCCCCACGTAATGTGGCTGCCCCTTTGCCAGGTGGGACAAGTGCTGAAACTGGCAACTGTGCAGGGAACTGGAGGGGTGCAAGGAAAAGGTTCGTGCAGACGCTGCCTGAATGTGACTTTCTGCTGCTCACCAGGAGCAAATGATCCAAACCCCTAATTAATAGAGCAACGCACTTACCAGAAGGCAAAGAATCTCCCTCCTGTCAGTGTGTGATGGTTCCCCTCCCACTAGCAGTCTCTTCAGCCTTGAAAAAGGCTTACACCTTAGCTAGGAAGACCTACTCATGAGAGCTGCAATCTTCTGCTAGCATGTTTTGACTGAATCCTGAATAAATCTGAGCTGCACTTCATCTAGTTCCTACACAAGCTATTTTTTTCAGTTAAACAAAAACAGAAAAAAAGTACATTTTCCTGATGATGTGAGCACAGACACTCTGTGGTAAAGCTGCAAACAGCGATAATGAGAAGGTGAAATCTAGGAAATTCCAAAAACATGATGACTTATTTAGTGGAAGGCAGACAATTAGTATTTTAGGCAATAACCCAACCCAAAAATACTTGACTAGTACATATTAATAAGCTCCCTGTTCTTTTGGCAAGCCCCAGCAACTAATTGCAATGAGGTATGTGGAATCACTGAATCTCACTGACCTTTAGAATCATGTCAGTAAGTGAGAGGACAGCCCATTTTGACAAGGGAAAAAAAAAAATCTGTTCCTTGTTAACCTCATTTCCTACCTTATCCTTAGCAAAGAAAAAGATCCTGCTCAGAACTATGTTTTCAACTACCAGAAGAGAAAGATGCAGAAGAAAAATTCATCCATGTGCTTAAAGCCTTGGCACTTTCCCATCTTCTTTTGCTGTTTTACACCACAATCAATTCTGTGCCATACACCACTAGTATACACCACATTTTGTTTTTGCCCAGCAGATGTCCGAAAAAGATACTCATAGAAATATGGAACGAAATCATAAACCCATTACATTAATGACTCCTTTATTACGCTTCCCCAGTGCAATGCAAAGTCTACCTCTTACTTTGCAAATGATATAAAAACAGGTCTTAATCAAACAAACAAATCAGGTGTAGCTGACCCCACCTCCACCCAGTAAACAGCCATTACAAGGTTAGGCAGAAGCAGGTGCTCATTTCAGCCAGTGTTTTAACCTATTTTCATCTGTTTCATTCAGTTCAGGGCTACTGTGAAGCTGCTGTTAATGCTGCTAGCAAAGAAATAAATAACCACCAAACAGCTCTTCCTTTCACTACGAGATGAAGACTGAGCACTGAAAAATGAATTGAGGATGCACATCACAACTAGCTTACCTTGTCAAGGTAAACTAGTCAAGACAATGTCAAGAAGCTGCATATTGGTTCATTATTTTGCAAGCAGTAGTGCTCGTGTACCCTAAATATATAGAGAGATATACAGGTAAATATAGATTTATAGATTTTTATATATATAAATACAGCGAGATATATTTATATACAGGTAAATATAGATTTATAGATTTTTATATATATAAATACAGCGAGATATATTTATGTAAGTAAATCTACATGTCTCTTGCCTAAACCCTGTAACAACAATTACTATCACAAAAGTCAGTATTTTATATATTTTATGTAAGAAGCAGAGACTTGAATTTTGAAACAAGAATTCTCCAGAGAGCAATGATAACTATTATTTTTATCACCATAAACTTCTAGTCCTCACATCCACCCAGCCATGCACAAAAAGCAGAAGATAGATAGTCCCTAATGCGAAGGGCCTCTGCATTGAGTCATGAACAAATAATTACATACGGTGACAGCAGACAGGAGAAAATGGCAATAAAAACAACAATAAATTAAAACAACATGAAAGACAGGAACCGTTCTTGAGGCAGAACGGAATTACCAAGAGCTAGAATGTGGCCTCATATTGCTGGCAATTTTTTCAGAGGAGAGTTTGTGAAATTTCTGGGGTTTGGCCTATTCCACCTCCTCTTCATAAAACGCTGCGTCCCCACCAAGGCGCAGAGCCAGCAAGCGCAGCCCTCAGTCCCGGCTGCTCCTTTCCTCTCCCAGCTCCCTCCCAAGCAGCTCTCCTGGCTGCTCAGGAGATTGTTCCATCCATGTCCCCACTGGTAGCAAAGCAACGCCCGGTTTAACCTTGTTCCAACTTGCCACTACCAGGACAGTTTCTTCCCAGTTTGAGAGCCACTCATTGCAGCACAACATATGGGCAACACGGACGTCCCAGAAATTTCTTATTACGGCAAGAGGGTAGTGAGATGGAGGAAAAGGAAGGCTCTTGTAGAGAGAGAGGCTGAGCAGGAGGACGGAGCTCAAGAAAAAGCATCCTATGTCCCTGCTGCATTGCTCTAGTTTTACATTTGGGTCGTTCCAAAGAAATTAATAATTAAACCAAGCTAGGGGAATTTGGCACTTCACTGGTAGCTGGGATAAAGTGAAGAGAAAAGAGTTTTTTTAAAGGGGAAGGTGCTGGGGAAAGGAAGGGAAAGGAAAAGATGAGGGTCCTCATGCAGATTAGTAAATCTTTTACCTAATGGCATTGACCTTTCAAATCCCTCCCAAAGAGCATGAATGGAGAAGGATTAATATTGACTTGATGGTTAAATTCACCCACACTTGTTTATTTGCATGGCATTATCAGAAATGGGTTTTCCACGTCTGGCTGCCGATTCTGCTGTTGTCAGTGATGCTTAGTATAGGAAACATCTGTTAGGACTGCATACCAAATCCAGCTATTTACATGTCTAGCTGACTTGGTTTCTGCCAGCTATTATTTATTCTAACAAAAGCCTAAAGTGTATTTCATTTCAGTGTTGTTCTGTGTACAAACCTGCAGGTTTTATTTCACGTTGTTTTTTCAACTGACCTGAATTAATGAGATGAAGGGGCCAGATCTTCATCTGATGCTTCAATACCGCTACCCCATCTTGCCCTGCATTTGTTAATTTATTCGCCTGCTTAATATATATTGCATTTCCATTAATTAAGGACAGTTATTTACATCGAAAGGATGATGGGGTGGAATTGCCTAGTTAGCAGGGCAAATCCCAAATGGCTTGGGCATCTCTGTAATGTTTATCCAGTCTGCAAAGAGACTCCTGAAGGACGATCATTCTGACTTTCATTCCACTGCAGAGTAATTTTAAAGCAAGTTGACACATAGTCATAACAGGAGGAAGATACATGAAGCACTGCTAGAATCAGGCTAGAAAAAACGCTTACAGTATTCCATGATGCATTTCCAGTTTGAATCTAACAATTCTACACACACATCTGCAATCAATAGAAAAACAAAGAAAAAATACACCTGAAGCATGTCACATTATAAAAAAAACTGCAAAACCAACTATTAAACCTGCATTTCTCTAAGAGAACTAGTAAAGAAACACTATTCCATTGGTTCCAGTGGATTCCTTATAAAGCACGCTTTTTGATGTGAAAAATGAAGTGCACTGTACAGAATGGAACAAAGCAACTGAGAAATACCAAGATTTAGCTACAACAAGTCTTCATCAGCAAACTAGCCCTACACACTTCATA